AAGAAAGAGGGCAAGAGTAGAGCTTTATATATAGTCACATATTTGTAGAAACCTGTGGAGAGGCCATATTTCTGGAAGCTGAAGGTTTAGCTGTACAAAACAGCAGCCAGAATGATAAAAGTGGCAGAGCAATTCCTTGTGAGAAAAGTTACACTGGCTGAGCTTTCTAATATATATTTAAAAAGCAAAGGAATATTGACATGATGGGGTTATAAAATTTGGATAGCATGCAGAAAGTAAGAGAATAATTTTCTGTTGTTGGAGTAGAAGTTGGGGTCAGCGGTAGAAGATTCAGAATGGCTGAACAGAACTGATCCCCCAAAGAAGATATACATCATGGATAGAGTTCATCTCACAAGATGAAATAAGGAACATGAAACTGGATTAGCTTTAAAAGTGGAATGGACAAGTTCACAGAAGATAAAGCGATGGATGGCTTTATCAATAGTAATAGCCATAAGGATAAATATTTTCAATATTAGTGGCAGAATATCTCTGAAAATCATTTGGTGGGGAAGTATAAACCAAAGAGTGCTACTGACCATTGGTCAGAGATCAGAGGTTCCCAACCTTTTGGGCACCAGGGACCGGTTACCTGGAGAGAGGTTTTTCCGCGCACCAGAGGGGGTGCGGTTTTGTGTGTTGCCTGCATCCTGCGGATGAGATTTTCCTTGTTTGTGTGGACTGGTTGCTGGCATGCCACGGACCGTACTGATCCACGGACCGGAAGTTGGGGAACCTGCCTTAGATACATAATTAAGGTCTGGACAGTATAGGCCTTTGGTCTGATCCAGCTGGAGCCACCAGATCCTTTTCCTCTCTCAGTTTTTCTCTGCATTAATCAAGTGCCTCATTTAAATATTCTCCACCCCTATATACTTTTGTCTCTTCTGCAACAGCTTCATCTGCTTCCAATCCAGTGGTTCTCAACCTTTCTAATGCTGTGACCCCATAATACAGTTCCCCATGTTGTGGTGACCCCCAAGTGGGTGTGGCCACCAATAAGAGGGAGTAGGACAGCTAGGGAAAAGGGAAAAAATGGCGGACAGCATGGTTTGGCGACCCCCGTGAAATGGTCATTTGACCCCAAATGGGGTCCCGACCCACAGGTTGAGAACCACTGTTCCAATCCACTATACATCACAGAAGCTATTAATGCTTCTATGGCCTTGAATGGTTCAAAAAAAGACTATGCAATCATCTCTTTCATGTGAAAATTAACTGCAGAAGTTCACTTCTCCAAAACTTCTAAATTGGAGTCTTGCTGATAGCCAGGCTTAAACCATGGCAAGGAACAGTGGATTTGCGCCTTGAGCTTGGTAAGCTCAGTGACTTACCTCCTGATACTGCTGTCACTTCTGTCAACGCAGAACACAAGCATTTCATGAGGAATAAAGCACACTGGTTGTGGTTCCTCAGGCAAAGAAAGGCAGATTCTGCTCAACTGTCAAGGAAGGCAGAATCTAGGTATGAACTATAACATGGTCAGGCATGTTTTGACTACTTAGCAGGAAGAATAAAATCACAATAGACACAGAGTACTTGATGAAAATGTAATCTTACAACTCTTCCAATCTAGAAACCACAGTGTGGAAGGCTAATCTTCAGGCAAGTTAGAACAGCTTAAGCAGACAAGGCACTGCTCCAAAATTACAGATTTGCTACACAGGGATTCCTTTCTTCTTTTCCTGTCAGCCCAAAGGAGTAATAATACAGGTGTTTTTCTGTATTTGGGCCAAAAGGAGTTTCTCTTTCCTAGCAAACTTTTGCACTCAGAAATATAGACTCTTAAAAAATGCCATATGCATATTGCAAAGATTTATGAGTTGGCATAAGGTTGCTATTTTCCTTATTATGGTTAGCCACCCAGTCACCCGGATGTTTAGAGTGGGGTTTCGCATTTTTATCTACCTACTTACTCCTTTCCAAGGACCTGGAATAGGCAGATGTTGTTTGATGCTGTTAAAGGTATCTTTATGTGATGTAAGCAGCAAAGTAAAGCTGCCTTTTGCAATTGACTGATGGTGACTTTGTCAATGGCAATGGTGTTCAAGTGCAGCTCCACCTGTTTTGGGATTGCACCCAACATGCCTGTTACTATTGGTACTGCCTTTGCTTTCTTGGGCCACAGTTCTATTTGCAGCTTTTTAGATTTTTCCAGTTCTCGCCTGTTCTGTTGTCTCCATATAGCAAGGTCCATTATATAGAATAATTGTGAAGTCTGGGGTGGCTAGAGAATTCTGGGAGTCAAAGTCCACATGTTTCCAAGTCTCCAAGGCTGAGTTCATCAATTTAGAAGATTCTAATGTTTTGAAACTGTCTTGGTGATAGAGAAACAAGTATTCTGAGACCCCAGTTTTGCAGTGCTGCCTATTTTGTTTCTAAGGCAGAACACTTGTGTTTCTGAAGGCAGGAAACCTAAGAGATGCATTTATTTATAAAATGGAAACATGTATTTTGTGAATTACAAGATGAAAGCCCCAGTTTGGGTGTCAGTTGAACTTCACCTTCCACCACCCAGAAGCAGACCATAGTGTGATTAAGGACTTGTAAAACAGTTCCAGCTGGTATGTTGCTAATTACCTATGGGTCAATTTCATCTGGCCTCCTGTCCAGAAAGAAAGAGAAAAAGTTGAGAGATAGAAAATATGATTGTATGGGGGGCTCTTAATCATGACCTCCTTAGTGTGCTGCATCAAGGTTTAATAAATTATTTTGCAGCTTAGGAAACAAATGAAGGAAAGGGATTGTCTGTTTTTATTGCAATAGTAATGTAAAAGAGAAAGTTGGACCATAAGAAAGGTTGAGCAAAAAGAATTGAGGCTTTGAACTATGGTGCTGGAGAAGACTCCTGCGAGTCCCTTGGACTGCAAGGTGTTCAAACTGGTCAGTCCTAGAAGAAATCAACCCCGACTGCTCTTTAGAAGGCCAGATCCTGAAGTTGAAACTCAAGTACTTTGGCCACCTAATGAGAAGGAAGGATTCACTGGAGAAGAGCCTAATGCTGGGAAAGATTGAGGGCAATAGAAGAAGGGGACGACAGAGAATGAGATGGCTGGATGGAGTTACTGAAGCAGTAGGTGTGAACTTAAATGGACTCCAGAAGATGGTAGAGGACAGGAAGACCTGGAGGAACATTGTCCATGGGGTCGCGATGGGTTGGACACAACTTCTCAATTAACAACAACAAAAGTAAAAGAAAAACAATTGCTAAGCATAAGTAAAAAAACATTATGAGAAAACTTTCTAGTAACACATTCTCCTCTTAGGTTTGTTTCTTACTACCACCTAGATATTTATTCTTCATGCTGAATATTGAAGATTATTGCAACTATCCTTTCAAGTCTTTTCATCTATATTTGTATTGTCTCGTGAGTTTTTTCCTTTGAACTATATTCCAAAGAAATAAATTTGCCTTGTTATGGTATCTGTAGTATATCAGATAGCATTCCTGCTTAAATTTGGTTAGATTTGTATTCTGTCAATTGACTTGTCTACTGTTAATTTTGCCATTTTGCATATTTTGCAATTTTATCTCCTAATCTAATATTGTCAACAAGTTTCTTCTTTTCCAATGTGCCAAATTTATTCTTACAGCTGTCAGCATATAGCATATAACCTAGTGAACTGTGATGTTTTTCATTTGTGCTTTCTGAAATTATACTTAATAAAAATATTTGTGGCTTGAATTCAAATTCTATTTTTAGAATTTTCTGAATAGTTTGATGCATTTCTTTCCAGTACTTTTGAATTTTTTTACATAACCATCCCATATGGTAAAAGTTCCCTTTTCTTATGACATTTCCACCATTTATTGTTATATGACTTGTCTAGATATTCTTTGATGGTATTATATATCATCTGTAAAACATTTGAATTATAGCTTGGAGTATTTTCATGGCTTTTCCTAGTGTTCTGATTATTTGAAGTTTTGCATCCACTTCATGAATGCAATTTTTGCCTTGTTCCATCTCTATATTTCTATAATAATTTTAGATATTCACCCTAATAGATGATTTTGGGTTTGTAAAACAAGTTTCAAATTCTGTCATTTTCCCTCCTCCTTTCTTGAGATCACCTTTTATTTACCCAGCAATCTCTGGTCAATTTCTATCTTAATTGAGCAGGAACTGCTGTGTCTGAAACCTGTTTCTTGAGTCTGGATGCACCATATTATCATATGTAATTAAATCTTTCTTACTATGGTTGACTCTGAATAAAAGGCATTTGACAGTGAAGTGAATGGTACTTTCCATTGGCCTGTCTGTCCCAGATGAATTCCTTTCTATGATGCTATCATACCTTAATAACCTGGAATCTTAGGAGTCAGAATGAGAAAGATTCTCCTAGCGATTCCAACAATTACCACCTTTCACATAAAATGATTGGTAAGGAAGAACCAGTGGGGTTTAATGGTTAGGAGACAGGATTATCCCACCCAAACCATATAGCTCATTGGATTATTTTGGAACTCTCACTAACTCATGTTGTGAGAATACCATTTGTATATTTTATATACATGTGTCAAAGAAAGCCCATTCTGTATACCAAGGGTGATGAACTATGGCCCCTTTAATGATCCCAAATCCCAGAATTCCTGAGCCAGCTATACGGGCTCAGGAATTCTGGGAGTTGAAGTTCACAGATCATACAGCCCCTGCTGTATATGATAGTGAGCTCTTGAAGGAAAAGCAAGCTATCAATCAAAGATATAAAATAATGAAACAAGAGTTTCATGAACTTACTTTGGCAGATACTCAAGATTCCCTTTTATTTTCCTGCTTTTTTTCCTTTTTAATATGCTATCCCTTTATCTCTATATTGAAAGCCTGGCCATTGGAATCTATAACAACAGTCAGATTTAGTTCTCTTCATTTCCTCCTTTTGACTTGTGTAGCTTACTTAAAGCTGGAAATGTTGTAGATTCAATCTTAAATATGGATTATATATTTTTAAATGTGGTGACCAAAATGATTTGGGTTTTTTTTTTCCCTCCCCAGGTTTTGGGAAACCTTTGGAATAACTGAACTTCATTTCTGTACTTGATACGATCTAGTGGGCCATGTCTTCAAGATGATAACCTGCACCTAGTCCTGTGAAATTTCAAACATCAGCATCTTTCCTTCCAAACAGTTTTCCGATTTTTTTTTAAATTATCTTGCCAAATTAAGAAAGAGAAAAGCTGAAACCTTAAAAGATTGCAAAATATTCTGTAAAATTTTTGCTATTTTGTCAGCAATAAGACCCTTTCCCTATTCTGGTTTGCATGCATCTGCAATCAGATAATGGATATAAGCTGAAACTGCTGGATTTTATGTATTAGATTAGAACATATTGTGCTATTTATTTTTAAATCTAGAATGGACTTGTTTAAAGACCCTCCCTGTTTTAAATAGTAATCTACCCCTTTGGGGAAAATTATAGAGTTCACGTAAGAAACTGGCTAAAATTAAAAGTTGTAAAAATATACCATAGTATTGGAAAATAATTTCAGCAAAATGGTCTGTAAAGCCAAAAATTGGTGCCTGTGTACAGTATTCATCTGAAATGTTTTTGCAATTCTCAAGGAGAAACCTAGGCATGGTCTCTTGCTCTGTAAACAGGAGTGGCAGAAGGAACACTGAGGACACAAATGAATGGCAGAAAGTTCTGAATGACTAGAATTGTGAGAACCCATGGCCCTTCAAGAGCCATTGGTTCCTTACCTGTAGTTAGTTTTGTACTTTCATGTTGTGCCAAGTCATAATAAAAGAATTTAGTAACTAGCAGTGAGTGGAAACTTATCAGAGGGACATCCAATCTAGAAATGAGTTGGAATTTCCTGACACTGAAAACTGTGAAGCAATTGAACAAGTTGCCTCCCAGAGTTGTGGGTGCTTCATCACAGATGGTTTTCAAAAGATTGGACAACTATTTGTCAGAGGTGGTATGAGGGGTGCACTATAGAAGACCTTCCAAGGGTCCTTCCAATCCTATGATTCAGTGGGTTCATTTTGCATTCCAAAAGCTAATTGATTTTCATTTTTTTCCCCAAGATTGTGCCACTTCATTTACATAAGATACCTGTGACTTTATAAACTTGAATGATATGCAATTCTCCTCCAAACTTGAGAATTTGTCAGTGTTGTATCACAGCCAACGATGTTACTATAGTGTGAAGATGTGATCACATCACATCTGTAGCTGAGACTTCCATGTGAGTGCATAGAGGAAATTTTAGACATAGAGCTGTTGGGTTGTACAAACTTTAAAGCTAAGCCTTCTGTGATTCAAGATGCAATCCAAAGGATTGCAGAAAGTTTTACCATAATCACCTGAAAGATGGAAAACAGAACACTTTAACTTGTGCATTTAGAGATGTTTTAATCGTCATGTTTCCCATATAGATAGCAAAGATGTGAAATGAAAATAACATGGAAATGTTCAAGGAATATTTAGTTATCTACTGTAATTTCCCAGTATATGGAAAGGCAAGCAGTCCTCTAAGGTTATAAGGTTTACATGCAAGGAAATTCCATTTCAGTATTTAGCGTTCAGAGTTTACCCACAGATACCGTTTATTATATAAGCTAACATTTAAACAGATTCTCACCTATGACATTAAGGTAGTGGTGGGGGGAGACTGCAATCATAACACAAATTGATCAGGGTTGTGCAAAGCAAGATGTAAGTCTGGAATGTTTTGAGATGATGATAAATCTGAGCATAACCACCTGTCAAAAATATCTGCCAGTCATAGCAATACTGATTGGCAGATGCCTCCCCACTTGCTGGTGACTTCTGATGTAAAGTTTACTAGTTCATCTGTAGTTTTGAATTGTTTGTAGATGTGCAAATATTACTGAGCTTCAATGTTTTTATCTGTTATTTTTACATTCCAGCCTTTTCATTTTGAATTGTAAGTTATATGAAGCACCCTGTTTTTAATTTCAAGTGTAAATGACATAATTTTTAAGGTGTTATCAGAGAGCTTAATTAAAGATGAAAACAGGTGGTCTAAGAGCTGGATAGGTATTCCATTCCCTCACACATACCCCAATTGCTTGTTTCCTTTTTTCCACAAATTTTGAAAAAAATAATTTGATGTCATAAAGCTACACAACTTTACATAACCAGAACCAGTTTCACCATGTTCAGCTTATCTCACATGGTACATGATTTTTAATGATCCTACTTAATGAGCGGCTATGTGTGTATTTTCAAATAAGTAATGTGTGAGTTGGCCTAACAATGAATAAATTGGTTCATATGGATTGTCATTTTTAAGTGCCATTTAGAGCATTTAAATGGACCAAGCTGCCCACTTAATACCAAGCTGCCAAGCTGGACCAAGCTGCCCACTTAATACCAAGTTAAACCAAACCAACACACAGAATGACTATTGACAAACCAGTTTATACTAAATTAAACTTTATTGACTAAGGTTTGTTCTCCAGACAGTGTGATTTGATGAACTATGGAAGTATGCATGCAATCAATGAGCATGACAATAGTTTTAAAAGTGAATGTCAAACAACTTAGTAAAACATATTAAACATTTAAATCTGTGTTGCTGCAAAATGAAACCGAAGCTGCATGAACTGCGTTGAACTAAAAAGGCACTGTGGTTGAAAATGGAAAATAAACACTGGTATATTTCCTTAATATATATTTCAAATAAATTAGAATTGTACTCTTTCAGCCTCACTTACACCCCGACAAAAATGTGTGCAAATATTAAAACTGTCATTAAGAAAAATGGACTATCAAAAGTGAATTGAATCATGTTATTATTGAGCTAACTTATAAGTGACCAGCAAGTGTAACATTCTTGATATCTTAAAATCATCATAGGGATTATTAGTACAGCTCAAAACAGTTTATGTAAGGATCTATTTACACCATCCAATGAGGTTGCAGTACAGTTAATTAATTTCTCTACCTCTCAAGCTATCACATAATAACTGCAATTACTGCACAATATGGATGTGTAATTTATCCTCAAGTCTCTCACATTATTGGCAGGCTAACAATCTTCCCTTCTCCCAGTACTACCATATTTGTTATTCAAGCATAAATTATAAAAAGATGGAGAAACAAGCAGAATTCTTCCTTAATTTTAAGGAAAGATAATTGATTGTAGAAATATGCAACTTTGGATGTTTTACTCACAAGTTTTATTGTGGCAAAATGTCTAGCTGGAATGCAAATGGAAGTTTTTCAAAAGCCACCGGAACTTGATTCTTGAAATATCCTTAATTCGTGAAATACACTTGCTATATGGAAATATTGAAATTCTTTAAAAGAATACCTGATTTGTTTGCACTGCTGGAATCTTTTAATGTAAACACGATAGTGACCCATAATAACCCATAATAGTTAACCATTTTATGGGTGTATCAGTGCGATTGTATAGCAACCACAAATAACTCTAGTTATAGTGGCTGTGATTCCAACCACACAATTGCCCAACTCCCTGCTTCTGATGGAACTTAAACTGTGAAAAGATTTGTACATAGTAGATGACTGCATCAGACAAAAATGATTTCATTTGTCCAGCGTCACATTTTATAGCTAGTAATTAGTGAAGGCTCTGGCAGGGTCCACACGTAACACTGAGCCATTTTGTATGTGGTAGGATAAGATATGATCTTTGAAGGCAATAAAATAGTTGGAAATCATAGTTTGTTGGTTTGCTAATTACAATCACAGCTTCAAATAATTATGCATGTGATTGCATTGTCTATTTGTGTTTTCTAGATGATTCCCAATTTGGCTTCATATCCCTCTCCTAAGCATTCACAGAGAGACATGGCAAAACCAAGTTTTAAAAAGCAGTGGAACCAGCAAGAATAACAAACAACCCATGATTTTTCTGATCATCTCCAAAACGGCTTGTTTCAGGATGGCCACCCAACCATAGCTAAAATAATGAGAGTTTGAGGAGCATCCTATATCCAAGTTGGTAGAATCTTGCAGTAGCGGTACAATGAAATTTAATAAAATTGAAAAATCCTTGAACTGGTTCCTTAACTTAGGTTGGAAGATCTGAAGCAGGAAGAAAATGGTCAAAGCATATTGGGTGGGCCTTGTCTGAAATGTAATTGATTGATTCCAGGGAAACAGATGATAACTGCATGACAAGTTCATCCCAGGAAATTGTCCCAAAGTGCACATTTTAGCAAAGGAATGTTCTTAATAGAAAAATGATCAATATCTGACTTAAGGCTGCCAGTTGTTCAGTAAAGGAACGATATCTGCATTTCATCCTAAACCACCCCCCCCAATTTATTTCAGTGTAACTTTTTAGTATAACAAAAACGAAACTTTAGAAAAATCGACATATTATAGACATACATTTCCTGACATATAATATTTCTAAAACAAAACAAAAACCAACTCCCCCTACTGTTGTGTTGACTAAGATTTTCTTTTAAACCAGCTACTTTAAATACCAGTATGTGCTGTTCTCCCTCACATCACCCCACTTCCCAGTTACCAGAAAAAAAAAAGAAAATCAACATTTTTTAATATATATATAATTATATATTGCTTATTAAAATCTCCTGGCTGAGACTGTTAAAGTACCACACCTCCGTGGGAACCACGTGAACACCACGTGCTAATGCAATTCGTATTTCATAGTCGCACTGACTACGGCAACTCCAAAGGGCTAGATCTCCAGGTCATCGGGTCGTGGTCTGCTGCTGGCTCGACTGCTGGCACGACTTGGTGGCCGCTGGTCTACCGCTGTGAGAGGCTGGAGCTCGTGGCCAGAGCCCACTTTCTTGGTGCTCTCCGGCTCATCATTAAATTCAAAGTTCTGGGCGTGTGAGTTGGAAATGGTGCTCCCAGCCTGTCCAATCCTGTTCTGTTCAGCACTGTAGTTTGCCCAGTTTTGTTCACTGGCTTGTTTATTGTAGTTGCGACAGGATGATGTATTGTTCCTATCTCCCGTTACAAGCTTGTATCCTGGTGGAGACATGGGCGACAAGGGGGCAGTCGGAGAGGAGCATCCATTGAAGTAGGCGTATTTTGGAGATCCGCAGTCCTTGGAGGGACTTAAGCCGCTGCTGGGAGAGAAAGTATTGCTCTTGATCTTCATGCGATCTTTAATGCTCTTGAGGGTGACATAAAAGATCTCAATGATGTTGAGAGTCAGAGATATTATGGATACTACCAGCATGAAGATAATAAAGATGGTTTTCTCTGTAGGACGAGAGAGGAAGCAATCCACTTTGTGTGGACATGGCACCCGTTCGCAAGTGTAGATGGCTTGCAGAGTGAATCCATAGATGTACCACTGTATCATTACAAAGGCCACTTCGAAGATAGATTTGAAAATGATGCTGATGATGTAAGTACGAAGCAGCCCACCGCGCATTTTGACCTTGCCATGTTCTTCAATCCCATACTTGAACTTCTTGATTTCTATCTGCTTTAGAGGCAGGTCTACATTGACTCCCTCGCTTTGGACCACCTTGAGCT